CTAAAAGCGGGAGCCCCGCCGGGCTCACGCGTGGCCCTCAGGGCGCCCGCCGCGGCTGAACGGGGAAATGTTTGCGGTGGATACCGAGGCGAACGACAAATTCCTCCCCGCGCTGCCCGGCGGCACCACGTGCGCTTGGTGCCTTACAGATATTCTAAGGGATTCCAGCCGAGAGCCAAAAGTCAACTGTTTTATAATCGCTTTATACTCAATATTACTTTTAGTGGGCTAAAAGTCGCCGTTCATATGTTATTAAACCCCCTCTTTATGCTCTCTGCAGGGAGCAGCAGGGATAATCCGAAGATCCGCTCTCCTGCTCCTCGGGAGGACTCTCTGAAGCGCTGAGAAACCTGTTAATCATCTGGTTACATGTCCCTCTCACCGTATATAATAACACGGTTTAAGTTGTTTGGAGCCTGCTTGACTCGGCCGCGGTCTTCCTGGCTTCCCGTTTCAGACGGCTCCGTGGCGTTCGCATGGGCGCCCTGGAAAAGTTGCGCTGCCTGGGTAGGAGCCTGCAAAGCAAAAAAAAGCAAAGCAAAAAAACCTCTGGCACTGCTCAAATTGCCGTTTCGTCCTAAAACGCTGTATTTTGTTGCGGCTTGCACCGTCGCTTTTTCCCGAAGGCGTTTCCTGGCCAGCCCGCTAGCACATGAAATATTCGCTTTTCCTGGGATGTCGTCCAGTTTAACATGTAAAGGGGGAGCTGTTTGCATGCCACGTGCAACCATAAGTGATTTTAATGCTGCTTGGCAGGATCTCCCAGGGAAAAGCCAGAAATAAATGAAACGGAGACAGAATTGGACTCTCAGTAGGTGGCCAGGGCAAATTCAGGTATTTGGTAATGCAGAGTAAAAAAAGCATCTCAGATAGCTGGTGATGCTTTATCTAAAATGAGGCCCAGTGCCTTTCACAGCAAGGATGCGTAGAGTTTCCAACTGTTTTTCAATTCAGATGCTTGACGCACACGTTGTGTTACAGATGCTTGCAAACAGACTTTGGAGCCCAATATTAAATGCTCTCTGTGCAGAAATCACCCTGCTTTTGGTTTGTAAAATTAAGCCTTTATCTTCAAGAGAGTTAAACTGAAGGGACTCTAAGGCACGTCTGGAAGAAATCTGGGAACAGGAAAATATCTGTGGCATTTGCATAGCTATACTATGAGTATAGTCTACTGCCTCCAGGTGGGCAAGCAAGGAGGTGGGAGTAACTTTTAAAAAATTATGGTTGCATACTTTTGTTTAAAATAGAAGCCCTTTAAAGCTAATCAATCTGTTCTGAACATTTCTTCATATCAATAACCTATATACTATGCAAATATATTGATAACATATATTTTTCTAAATTACTTTTAATGGATTTGAACTTTTCCCTGCAGGGTTTGCAGCCCAGCCCCCTCCAGCCCTGCCTGAGCACCTAAGAATCAGATGGAGTAGGGGAAAGGAGAAAAGCTGCATAATGGAAACCAGATTTAAATAAATGCAGTGACATAATCTGTATAGTTCTTGGCAAGAAAAAAGCAAAGTTGTGCTTTTCATATCCGCTTTTTAATAAGCTGTAAGTTTCCCTTTTAAGAAACTGTTATAATAAACAGTCCTGATTCCTCTCCTATTAAAGGCAGTAGCAAACATCCACTCAGCTTCCACTGAAGTTCCCAGCTGAAGCACTGCCACCTCTCATGAGTCACAGCTTGCCCGATAATGGTGTTTTTCTTGTAGAGGTTTGGTATTAAGAAACTCAGCCTTTGTTTAAAAAATGCTACTGGTACAAGTGCTTGTGTGCGTGGAGATCTCTGGACCGCCTCATTACATAAAAAACGTTGGAAATTTACACTCTAAAAACTTAAAACTCTAAGGAAAAAAGTGCCTAAACTACTTAATTTCATTATTGTTAAGCTGAGGACAGAGGTAGAAGAGACCCAAAGAGAAAAGTGAGACAAGTTAATATTTTGAATTGCCCAGGACTGGCAATATCACTATTGGATTCTAGGATTCTTCCATTCCTTTTGCAATCGAGCAATAAAAATAAATATTTGGCCCAATTCCTTTTGACACACGTGGAAAATAAAATCTCTTGTTATTTTAAGCCAGATGTACAGGACACAGAAAAATAAACAGGAGGTAATCGGACAACTCTTCTAATTTGGTATTTAAAGGAAAGACAAACCAAGAGCTATGTCTGTATAATATTTAATGGCAATTCATAGTCTCTAATATCATTATATTATTCCGTTACAGTTTCTTCACACACTGTAAAAGACTCTACAGTAACTGTATATTTAAAAAATAATCCTAATTAAAAAGAGGAACACTCTGTGACAGCAGAAATAACTCAGGAGAACACAGAAAGGCTATTTAAATTGCACAGTGCTATCTATCTAAACCCACCACATTTATCCTTTCATTTGCAGCAAAAATCAGAGATCCAGGGTTGGTGTAATGCACATTTCCTAATCATTCCAGTTTACACCACAAATTATTGGGAAGACAGGATCAACATGTCTGAGCAAACTCTGGTCCAACAGCCTGGAGGATTGTTCCCATCTGAAATTGTTTAGAATTTGCTTTATGCCCTGAAACATGAGGATTTATAGCACTTTCAACCAGAATGAAAAGCAGCAACAGGAAGGGGAGGTTTTGATAATGCTTTCCAGCTGCATCACATCTACAGAAGCCCTTGAAATCCTCTGTAAAGCTGTGTATCCGCATCCCAGCTAACGAGGCAAAGATGAATTAAGCAACTGGCCCTCGACCGCAGAAAGCCAAGGCACCACCGGAAGCAGAGCCCGGACGCACGGCAATTCCCCCTTGGCGACAGGGACAGAGAGGAAAGGGAAAAGCGTAGGATCCCTCCAAGCCATCCCAGACCCTGCAGGGGTTCAGAGACTTGCATCTCCGCGTTGGGCGCGATGGAGCAGGGAGGGCTCCGCGGCTCCCCAAGCGCGCGGTCCCTCCAGGGTGTAATCGAGCTGCCTACGGCCATGCAAAACAGGGCAACGGCCCAGATCTGCTCTGTTTACTCTGGCAAAACTCCTCGCTGCAAACGGTGGGAGTTTCGTCTGAATAACAGTCACATTTGGGGCCCAGACAGAGCCGAGATGTTGGCCCACAAGCAGGATCTCTTCCTGCAGGCGTTCAGCAGAGATCAAGGTTACCTTCCTCTTCCTCTCGGGACACAGCCAAGCACGGGCTGTTGCACATCTCTAGCTCTTTAATCTGGTTACGCTATTTCTGATAGCGAGTCCTCCCTGGTGTTAACAAAACAGCACCCATCCCTGTGCTATGTCACCGCCGACAGCTCACGCAAAGGCAAAGATTGGCAGGAAAGGCTGGCGTGAGGGAAACAAAGCGTTTTTGAGGCAGGAGCTCAGGACGCGAGGAGCACAATCCTGTCCGGACACGAGTCCAGGCAACATTCCCACTGACCAGCAAAAAACCGAGATTTCATCCGAAGATTTAGCGCTGAAAGACATACCTTCCCTTTTCCCACCGCTTGCAGGGTTTCAGGGCTCACCGCCTCCACCAGGTCCGAGATACGGGCCCCGAGAGCACCTAGGGCAACGACGGCTGATCCTTCCAGCCCTCCGTCCCCGTGCCCAGGGCACGGGGCGGCAGCAGCGCTCGGCGGGGGG